ATAACATTGGCAAATATGTTCTCCCATGCAGTGGGCTTTCTTGTTGTTTTGTTGATGGTTTCTTTTGCTGTGCAGAAGCTTTTTATTTTGATGTAGTCCCATTTGTTTATTTTCTCTTTAGTTTCCAATGCCCTAGGAGCTGTATCAGTGAAGAAATTGCTTTGGCATATGTCTGAGATTTTGTTGCCTTTGGATTCTTCTAGTATTTTTATGGTTTCCCGTCGTACATTTAAGTCCTTTATCCATTTTGAGTTTATTTTGGTGTATGGTGTAAGTTGGTGGTCTAGTTTCATTTTTTTGCATGTATCTGTCCAATTTTTCCAACACCATTTATTGAAGAGACTATCTTGACTCCATTGTATGCTCTTGCTTCCTTTGTCAAATATTAATTGAACATAATGGCTTGGGTTGATTTCTGGGTTCTCCGTTCTGTTCCATTGATCTATATGCCTGTTCTTGTGCCAGTACCGGGCTGTTTTGATTACAGTGGCTTTGTAGTATAACTTGATATCTGGTATTGTGATTCCTCCATCTTTGTTCTTCTTTCTCAAGATTGCTGCGGCTATTAGGCTCTTTTTTAGTTCCATATAAACTTTTGGAGTGTTTGTTCTAGATCTGTGAAATATGCTGTTGGTATTTAAATAGGGATTGAATTGAATCTATAAATTGCTTTGGGTAGTATGGGCATTTTAATGATATTGATTCTACCAATCCATGAACACAGTATATTCTTCCACTTGTTTGTGTCTTCCTCTATCTCTTTTTTCAACGTCCTGTAGTTTTCCTAGTACAGGTCTTTTACCTCCTTGGTTAAGTATATACCTAAGTTTCTTAATTTTTTTTGTTGCAATGGTAAATGGGATTTTTTTTTTTTAGTTTCTCTTTCTGAGAGTTCATTATTGGTGTAAAAAAAACGCCATAGATTTCTGGGTGTTAATTTTGTATTCTGCTACGTTGCTGAATTTATTTATTAAATCTAGTAGTTTTTTGAGAGATTGTTTGGAGGTTCTAGCAGGGGAGTGCAGCTTCTCGTATACTCTTGACCAAAGACAGGTCCTGTCCTCTAGGGCGAAGGTCATCCTCTTCTCACGGAGCAAGTCTTTTTCGACTGAGCACGCAGCTTCGGGAGCGACACACATGGATTGGTGAGGGAGGAGGGGGACACCCTCCTAGTCAGCCAGATCAGCCAAATCAACCCTGGGGATTAATGGGGTGACAGATATTGCAGCCAGATTGCCCTCACATCCAAATCTAGGAGTTTGTTTTTTTAAATATATTTTTATTGATCTCAAAGAGGAAGGGAGAGGGAGAGAGAGATAGAAACATCAATGATGAGAGAATCAATGTTCAGGTGCCTCTTGCATGCCCCCCACTAGGGATTGAGCCCACAACCTGGGCATGTGCCCTGACTGGGAATCAAACCCAAGACCCTTCAGTCCACAGGCTGATTCTCTATCTACTGAGCCAAACCAGCTAGGGCAAATCTAGTAGTTTTTTGATGGAGTCTTTAGGGTTTTCTGTGTACATCATGTTATCTGCATTTAATGACAGTTTTACTTCCTCCTTTCCAATTTGGATGCCTTTTATTTTTTTCTTCTTGTCTGATTGCTATGGTTAGGACTTCCAATACTGTGTTGAACAACAGTGGCTGATCATGTGATTTTTGTCTTGCAATCTGTTTATGTGATGTATCACATTTATTGGTTTGCAAATATTGTACCAGCCTTTCATCCCTGGAATAAATCCCACTTGGTCATGGTGTATGATCTTTTTAATGTATTGCTGGATCCAATTCGCCAATATTTTGTTGAGGATTTTAGCATCTATGTTCATAAGGGATATAGTTTCTTTATCTTCTGGTGGAAATAGGGTAATGCTGGCCTCATAAAAAGAGCTTGGAAGTATTCCTTCCTCTTGAATTTTTTGGAATACTTTGAGGAGGATAGGTGTTAGTTCTTCTTTGACTGTTTGGTAAAACTTCCCTGTGAAGCCTTTCAGACCAGGGCTTTTGTTGCTGGAAGTTTTTAAATTACTGCTTTATTCTTCCTGGTTGAGTTTTGGAAGATTGTATTTTTCTAGGAATATATCCATTTTGTCCAGATTGTCCAGTTTGTTGGGATGTAGTCGTTCATAGGTTTTTTTTTTTATGATCCTTTGTATTTCTCTGGGATCATTTATTACTTCACTTCTTTTGTTTCTGATTTTGTTTATTTGTGTCCTCTTTGTTTCTTGATGAGTCTGGATAGAGTTTCATCAATCTTGTTTATCTTTTCAAAGAACCAGCTCTTGGTTTTATTTATTTATTTATTTATTTATTTATTTATTGTCTGTATGTCATTTATTTCTGCTCTGATCTTTATTATTTCCTTCCTTCTACTTACTCTGGGCTTTTCTTGTTCTCTAATTCTTTAAATTGTAGAGTTAGATAACTTATTAAACTTTTTTCTTGTTTTTTGAGGTAGGCCTAGTGGTATGAATTTCCCTCAGGACTGCTTTCAGGATGTTTTTTTAATTCTTTGATCTCTTTGGTAACCCATTTATTAATAGCATGCTATTTAGTCTCCATGTGTTTGAATATTTTTGAGTGTTTTTATTGTAGTTGATTTCTAGGTTCATTGTGATCTGAGAACATGCTTGATATGTCTTCTTGAACTTGTAGAGACTTAGTTTGTATCCTAACATGCGGTGTGTCTTTGAAAATGTCCATGTGCACTTGAGAAGAATGTATATTCTGTAGCTTTGGGGTGATTATTCTGAAAATGTCAATTAATGCCATCTGATCAAGTGTATTGTTTAGGATCACTGTTTCCTTGTTGATTTTTTTGTCTAGAAGATCTATTCAGTGATGTCAGTGGGGTGTTAGAGTCCCTTACTATGATTGTATTGCTGTCAATCTCTCCCTTAAAATCCTCCAAAAGTTTTTTTTTTTTTAAATATATTTGGATGCTCCTGTATTGGGTGCATATATGTTTACCAGAGTTATATCCTCTTGTTGTATCGATTCTTTTAATATTATGCAGTGGCCTTCATTATCTCTTATTATGGCCTTCACTTTGAATTCTATTTTGTCAGATATGAGTATTGCTACCCCAGCTTTTTTTTTTTTTTTCATTTCCATTTGCCTGAAAATTTTTTTTCCATCCCTTCACTTTCAGTTTGTGTGAGTCCTTTGTGCTGAGGTGGGTCTCTTGTAGACAGCATATATCTGGGTCATGTTTTCTTATCCTTTCAGCTACCCAATGTCTTTTGATCGGAGCATTTAAGCCATTTACATTTAAGGTTATTATTGATAGGCACTTATTTATTGCCATTCTTATTCTTTGCTGCTCCGCCTCTGCTTGCCTTTGCATGCCTTTAATCTTAGTCACTCAAAGGTCTGTTTCTGAAAGGGCTTTAGGTGGGGGAGGTGCTACTGAGGAGGAGATACATCAAGGAAGGGATATGGTGGATGTTTCCCTGTCCCAGAGCTACTCCTCCGTGAGTGGCCCATAATATTACTCTGCCATTGGCTGGACAGAGATCCTTCTATGAAGACCAACAGGGTCGGCTGGAAACCTGGAGTTTTTACCACTTCTCCTATTCAGGGAAAGTACCAGTCTGTTTCCCAGGATAGTAGGGCAGATGGCCCCCACCCAATCCAGTCACTGAGGGGTCCTTGAAACTGTTCAAACTTGTAAGCTTGGCCTCTGCTTTTATTTCCTCCGAAAAGCTCAAAATGCAGGGTGTGGCATGCAGGGCTCCTGAGGGTGGGGCAGGGTGTATAACCTAGGGCAGGGGTTCTTTTCCTGCCCTGCAGCTAGGAGGAGCAGCTAACTCCTCTCAGAAGAAAATGGCTGTTTCAGTTTGGGTGCCTACAACCAAATGCTCCTGGCTGTTGTTTTTCCAAGTCTCCCCGCAATGCTTCCTACCTCAATCTTTCCTTAGGCACCTCAAGTCTGCACCTCCCTCCCTGCACCAAAGCCTCCGGTACTAGCTGCAGATGAGAACTCCTATGCTCTGGGTTAAAAAAAAAGAATGAGATTGTGGATTTCTCTCTGACTGGCTCTGGTCTGCTGGCTCCAGGTTCTGCTGTGGTCAGCAGCCCTGCTGCCTTTCATGGCTGAATGTTACAGAGGCTACGGGTCTAGACTCTGATGCTGCAAGCTGTGGAGAAGAGCCTGGGTTCCTGGCCTCTATCTTCTGAGGGAACAGACCCTCCTATAACCAGGACATGCCTCCTCTCTCTCAGCCCCTGCTGGCCTGCCACCACTGGAAGCTGGGTCATCCCCTCTCACAACCTCACCCTTCCTACTGGTCTCCAGGCGTTTTCTGTCCTTCCTTGATATGTCTCCTCAGCTGGACCTCAGTTGGTAATTCGTGTTAGAAAGAAGGCGAGCCCCAAAACCAGGGGTCCTAGTAGAACACAAAGGATACTTGGGAGCCAGACAAGGCAAATATCTTTACTTCTGCAGAAGGGTGGGCAACCAACACAGGATTTGGTAATCATGCACACTGAGCGGGCAGTCCACTCGGGGGTTTTATCTCTGAAGCATACCATCTTTCCCTCACTTTTGATTGGTCAGAGTTTAGGCTCACATTCTTGCACAATTGGCTAATTTAAAGGGAAAAGGGAGGGGTTGACCTCTGCAGTTTCGAAATGGCAGTTGTCAAGTCACGCAAACCAAAATGGTGGTTGCCTAAACTCCCTTCTATGACAGAAAAGATTACTTTGGCTATCAGAAGTGGGGAAGGAATGCTGGGTGGGGAAGGGGGGAGCAACATACAGCAAACCAGAACAGTCATCTATCATACACATTGTGTGTGTGGTGGTGGTGGTGATAGGGAGGAGGGTATCACAGTGATAAAGAGGTTAATCCAGAGGCACTCACATAGTACTCTCTCCTTAAGAGAAAGTGACAATTGGAAAGGTGGGTCCAGGCTTCTTGAGGGTGGGGAAGGGCAGGGACAAGACCCAGAGTGGACAGCTGGACTACACTGTGAGTAGTTTGAAGAATTCATTAAAAGAGAGAAATCTGGCTGGGAGAAAATTATGTTATTTTCATATCTCTAATGCTTTGGGTCCTTGACTTAGATTGTGAAGGGAGTAAAGATAAAGGATAGAAATAAATCACAAGAAGCAGAGGGAAAGAATACAGGACAGTTTAATGCTGTATTTTTGCATTCTCCCTTCAAAGTTGAGCCATTTCCTTTTTTAAAAAAAACACACACACTTGTTTTATTGATTTTTAGAGAGAGGGAGAGAGAAACATCGATTTGTTATTCCACTTATTTATACATTTATTGGTTGATTCTTATATGTCCCCTGACAGGGGATGGAACTTGCAATCTTGGTGTATTGGGACGATGCTCTAACCAAGTGAGCTATCTGGCCAGGGAGGCCCTTTTCAACTATGATTCTGCACATCTATGTCACTCTCACATCTCTGATTCCTTTCATTGGTATCTGAAAGGGCAGAGCAGGACTGACTCCATTTTGTCCTGTGTCCTCCATCTTGTGTAACTATGTCCTTGACATGACCCCTTCTCCAAGAAAAAACACAGAATGTGTCAGTTACCCAGCTCACCCTTAAATCAGCCAATGGGAATGCAAGGGGAACTAACCTAAGGCCAAAAGTATGCTGACCGCATCCTGTCTTTGTGTAACCGGACCCTAGCCCATCTTGTCTTTGTGTCACTGGACCCTAGCCCTCACCCAACCAATCGGAATCGGCCAACTCTGTGGCCCGAGCATCACCCCACCACCCGACCCCAAGCCCTATAAAATTGCTGTGCTTCTGGAACTCGGGGCTCTTTTGCATTCTGCCGCTGCGTCGGTGGAGGCGGAGAGACCGGGCTCGAGCTTGAATAAAGGCTCTTTGCTTTTGCATCGGACTCGGCTCCCTGGTGATCTTTGGGGATCTTGAAATCTGGGCATAAAATTTGGGGGCTCGTCCGGATCCCCAAGACCCACGAGGGACCCCAACCCGGAGAGCCTAACTGACCGCGGTAGGTGTCTGTGTGTTTGTGTGTTCTGTCCTGTGTGAGCTCATCTCTGGTATTCTGGTTGTGCCTGACTCGGTCTAAGTGGACGCACTGGAGGACCACAGGCCGGAGGACTCGGAAGATGTTCCCATCCTCCTTTCTGGAGGGACGTGGATTCCCCTCACAAATCTGAGACGAGGCGGGTCGCTCCCGCATGTCGGCGTGAGGCCGTCGTCTAGCTTTCGGTTTTGCTTCCACGGAGTTGGAAGACTGTTCTTTGGGGCCCTTTGTCTGTGTTTGTGTTTTTCTGTTTTATTCTGTGGACTTACTTGACGGACATTATGGGACAGACTCAGACCACTCCTTTAAGTATTATGATTGATCATTTCAAAGAGATCAGGGGAAGAGCCAACGACCTCAGTGTGGAGGTCTGGAAGGGTCGGTGGCAGGCTTTTTGTTCCAGCGAGTGGCCAACTTTCAATGTCGGATGGCCGCCAGAGGGAACTTTCGACCTCCCTACCATCCGCCGGGTCAGGGACGTCGTCTCCTGGCCCAAGAAGGGTCATCCTGATCAACTCCCTTACATTCATACTTGGCAGGACCTTGTGGAGGACCCACCCTCTTGGTTTAAGCCCTTCCTGGCCCCACACCCTCCGGAGCCGAGACCTATTCTTGCTTTGCAGGGGACGGAGAAGGAGGAGAAGAAGGTCACCCAGCCATCAGCTCCCCTCTACCCTGTCTTGCAGGGGGGAACTGAAGAAGAACTAATTTTTCCTCCCCCGTATCAGTCCCCTAGAGTGCCGGAGGGACCCAGCCACACCTCATCCGGGGAAGCAGACGCTGCTCCGAGAGCGGAGGGCGGAGGAGTTCCAGTGGGAAGCCTGCCCTATACCAGAGAACGGGCTCAGAGAGAGCAGTCTGCCTCCATCGCCGACTCCACTATTAAGACTCTACCCCTGCGGGCCATTGGCCCCCCAGATGAGGGGGGCAATCAGCCCCATCACTACTGGCCTTTCGCCACTAGCGACCTTTATAATTGGAAAGCTCAGAATCCTAAGTTCTCTGAGAAGCCGGCAGGGCTCATTGATTTACTAGATTCTCTTCTTTTCACCCATCAGCCTACCTGGGACGACTGTCAGCAGCTTTTGCAGGTCCTATTCACCACCGAGGAGAGGGAGAGGATCCTCAATGAGGCCCGAAAACTAGTTCCGGGCGTGGATGGGAATCCTACCACCAGCCAGGCTCAGATAGATACCTCTTTTCCTCTAACTAGGCCTGAATGTGATTTCAACACGGCAGAAGGTAAGGAGAGGCTCTGGGTCTACCGCCAGACTCTAATGGGGGGTCTTCAGATGGCTGCTAGGAAGCCGACTAATTTGGCTAAGGTAGGAAATGTACAGCAGGAGAAGGATGAATCTCCAGCGGCCTTCCTAGAGCGGGTCATGGAGGCGTTCTGTACCTATACCCCCATGGACCCAGAGACTCTTGAGAACAAGGCGGCTGTTATCATGGCCTTTGTAAAACAATCTGCTGCAGACATTAGGAGAAAACTGCAGAAGATAGAAAGACGAGGGGAGAAAAGTCTTCAGGACTTGCTGGTAGTAGCCGAAAAGGTGTACAACAACCGGGAGCCCCCTGAAGATAAACAGGCTTACGCCGTGGTGGCTGCCAGCAGTAAGCAAACCCGAGACCTGGCCAGGATTCTGCTGGCTACCACCGTGGACTCTCCCTAGGAACGGGACCGCCGCCTCCGACAGCTTGCGAGTGATCGGAAAAGAGGTAAGGAAACCGCCAGGGAAGGGAGGCGGAGGCTGCAGAAGGATCAGTGTGCTTACTGCAAGGAGATAGGGCATTGGGCCCGAGAATGTCCAAAGAAGGCCAGCGGAAAGGGAAGCAAGACTGATCGAGTGAAAGTCTTAGAGCTGGATGAACTGAGTGATTAGGGAAGTCAGGATTCGGACCCCCTCCCCGAACCCAGGGTAACTCTTAGAGTGGAGGGGACCCCCGTTGACTTCCTTGTCGACACCGGAGCGCAACATTCGGTCCTCCGTACACCTCAGGGGAAGCTAGCAAATAAGAAGTCCTGGGTACAAGGGGCAACTGGTATGAGCCAGTATTCATGGACTACCCGAAGAACGGTAGATTTAGGGATGGGCCGGGTATCCCACTCCTTCATGGTGATACCGGAATGCCCCTACCCACTATTAGGATGGGACTTACTGACCAAGATTGGAGCTCAGATAATTTTCAGTCAAGGGGGGCCTCAGGTCACCGATGGCAAAGGCCACCCCATCCACGTTCTGACTCTGAGACTGGAGGATGAGTACCGCCTCCACCAGAAGGCGTCCCCAATAGAGAGCAACATGGACAGATGGCTACAAGAATTCCCCACAGCTTGGGCAGAGAAGGGGCGGGGTAGGACTAGCCGCTCACAGGACCCCAATCCTAGTAGAGCTAAAACCAGGAGAAGGCCCAGTAAGAATCAAGCAGTACCCTATGTCTCAGGAGGCCCGGAAGGGAATCCAGCCTCACATCCGGAGACTGCAAAGCCTAGGGGGTACTAGTTCCCTGCCTATCTGCCTGGAACACCTGCCTCCTGCCAGTCAGGAAGCCTCATACGAATGACTACCGACCAGTACAGGACCTCCGGGAAGTAAATAAAAGAGTCATGGATATACACCCAACTGTTCCCAACCCATATACTCTCTTGAGCTCCTTGGCACCCTCTAGAGTCTGGTATACCGTATTAGATTTAAAGGATGCCTTCTTCAGTCTGCCGCTGGCACCCCGAAGCCAACCCTTATTTGCCTTCGAATGGCACGACCCAGAGTAGGGCTTCAGCGGACAATTAACCTGGACACGGTTGCCTCAGGGGTTCAAAAATTCGCCCACCACCTTTGACAAGGCGCTACACGAGGACCTGAGTGAGTACAGGAGGGAGCACCCCGGCCTCACCCTCCTCCAGTACGTAGATGACATCCTGATTGCTGCTGACACAGCCGAGGACTGTGAGCGGGGGACCCAGGATCTGCTGGCTACCTTGGGGGCCTTAGGGTACCGGGCATCTGTGAAGAAGGCTCAGATATGCAGAGAGAGAGTAAGTTACCTGGGATACATCCTAGAGGGCGGACAGCGGCGGTTATCAGATGCCAGAAAAGAAACTGTCCTGAAAATCCCTACTCCCACCTTCCGAAGGGAAATAAGGGAATTCCTAGGATCGGTCGGCTACTGCTGCCTCTGGATACCGGGTTTTGCTGAGATCGCCAGGCACCTATATGAAGCTACCAAAGAGGGGAGGGCATTTGAATGGACTGAGAAAGAAGAGGCTGCCTTTAACCAGTTGAAGAAAGCCCTCTTAGCTGCTCCAGCCCTGGGCCTGCCAGACATTACAAAGCCCTTTCACCTCTTTGTAGATGAACACAAAGGAATAGCGAAGGGGGTTTTAACTCAAGCCTTGGGCCCCTGGAGCCGCCCAGTAGCGTACCTGTCTAAGAAGCTAGATCCAGTAGTTGCTGGCTGGCCGCCATGCCTAAGAATTATGCGGCAACTGTGCTCTTAGTCAAGGACGCCGACAAACTGACCCCGGGGCAGGAAATCTGGATCACAACCCCGCATGCCATTGAGGGATTCCTGAAACAGCCTCCTGATAGATGGATGAGCAATGCACATATGACCCACTATCAGAGCCTCCTACTCAACCCTCCTAGAGTGCGGTTCTGCCCCAGTGCGGCCCTTAACCCCGCTACTTTGCTGCCCGACCCTGACCTAGATGCCCCACTACATGACTGTGTGGGAATCCTAGAGCAAGTACATGGATTCCGAAAGGACTTGACCGACCGGCCCCTCCCAGATGCCAAGGCCACTTGGTTCATGGATGGGAGCAGCTTCATACGGGACGGGCACAGGTACGCGGGGGCAGCAGTGGTCACTGAAATGGACACTGTATGGGCAGAGGCTCTACCTTCCGGGACGTCAGCCCAGCGAGCAGAGCTCATCGCCCTCACTAAAGCGCTAACGCTGGGGGCTGGAAAACGGCTCAACATCTACACAGATAGCCATTATGTGTTTGCCACAGCTCATGTTTACAGGGCAATCTATCAGGAGAGGGGATTACTGACGACAGAGGGACGTACTATAAAAAATAAGCAGGAGATACTTGACCTGCTTACGGCCTTATGGCTTCCTGCCAAGTTAGCCATTATCCACTGCCAAGAGCACCAGAAGAATGATGACCCGGTAGCGAGAGGTAACCGCAAGGCTGATCAGGCAGCCAAAGCAGTGGCCCTTACCTCGATCCCCACCATGGCCCTACAACTACCGGACCCGGGGGACCCAGTTTTACCAGACCAGCCCAGATACTCCCAGGAGGAGTTGCAGCAGATCAGGAAACTTCCCCTAGCCCAGGAGATAAAGGGATGGTGGTATACACCAGACAAAGAGCTCATACTGCCAGACCGGCTCGGAGTCCCAGTATTAGAACGCATGCACCAGTCCACCCACCTGGGGGCCCGGAAATTAAAGGATTTAATCCGACATGCCGGAATCAAGATTCACCAACAGGACACCAAAATAGATCAGGTTGTATCCGCCTGCAAGACCTGCCAACTTACGAATGCGAGGGCCGGGGCGAGTGAAAGAGGGACCAGACTCCGAGGAACCAGGCCGGGAGCACAATGGGAGATCGACTTCACCGAAATTAAGCCAGAAAAGTATGGTTATAAATATCTTTTAGTATTTATAGACACCTTCTCTGGCTGGGTAGAGGCATACCCAACCAAGCATGAAACAGCTCAGACGGTAGCCAAGAAACTGCTAGAAGACATCCTTCCCAGGTATGGATTTCCTGCTATGATAGGGTCAGACAACGGACCAGCTTTTATTTCACAGGTAACACAGGCAGTAGCCAAGTCTATAGGGGCAGATTGGAAATTGCATTGTGCTTATAGGCCCTAAAGTTCAGGGCAGGTAGAAAGAATGAATAGAACTCTAAAAGAGACCCTTACCAAATTAACCATAGAGACTGGCGGGAACTGGGTGTCTCTCCTACCGTTCGCCCTTTATCGGGTACGGAACTCTCCTTACACCCTGGGCTTTACCCCCTATGAGATCATGTTTGGCAGGCCACCCCCTATCATTCCTAATCTCAAGGCCGAGCTTCTTGCTGAATTTGAAAACCTAGACATATCTTTTCTCTTAAGAGGGCTCCAGAGGGCGCACGAGCACATTTGGCCGTGCCTCCGTGCCATCTATGAGGCTGGCCTGACCACGACGCCTCATCAGTGCAGACCGGGAGACTGGGTTTTTGTCAAGAGGCACCGCCGGGAGACCCTTGAGCTGCGTTGGAAGGGCCCCTACGTCGTAGTGCTGACTACACCCACGGCTCTCAAGGTAGACGGCGTCACAACCTGGGTCCACCACACCCACGTCCTCCCAGCTGATCCCTCTGCAGTCCGGGAGGACCTCGTCACACAATGGAACCTCGATCACAATCAGCGCAACCCGCTCAAGCTCAAGCTACGGCGCATTCAACCCGCCTGATGTTGGTAACTCTATTGACCCTGTTCGCTGTCGCCCATACTGCCGGGAGTCCCCACGCCCCCTACAATCTAACCTGGCAGATCATAGACACCAGCTCGGGGACAGTACTTAATCAGACTTCCCAGATTCACCCTAAGAACACTTGGTACCCGGACCTTTACATAGATTTGCTAGACCTCATCCACGTTTCATGGGACCCTAGCTTCACCCGGGGCCACCATTTCTATGTCTGTCCCGGGCACTCACGGACTCCGCCGGGGCACACCCGGGACCCATGCGGAGGAGCAGAGGACTACTTCTGCGCCTCCTGGTCGTGTGTCTCGACTGGACACATCTGGTGGACTCCCCCAAAAACCGATGACCTGATAACCATGGCTCGGCCAGCGGCACCGGCCTGTCAGAAATATAGCAAGGGTCTCCACACCCCATGCAACCCTGTGCGGATATCCTTCACAGAACAGGGAAAGAAAGCAACAGGATGGGACACTGGTAAAACCTGGGGAATTCGCCTCTATGATAAGACTAGACTCGGGGCTATGGACCATGGAAGATTATTTACCCTTCGAGTACAGGCAGCACCCTCTCACCAACAGACTCCAGCAGGAGTAGGGCCTAACCAAGTGCTGGCCCCCCAACCTGTCCCTACCCAGGCGTCCCCGCCCAAGAGCACCCGGGCCCCGGCCTCATAGTCCTCTGCATCCCTTGTCCCTACCGGGGCATCCTCCGCATCCTCTACCCCATTCTGTACCTCAGCATCTGACACAGACCCCCTGTGGAGCATGGTCATAGGAGCATATCATGTTTTAAATGCTTCCTGACCCGACCTGACCGAGTCCTATTGGCTCTGTCTCAATGTCCGGCCACCATATTATGAAGGTATTGCTATTAGAGGCAATTATATGACGGCCTCCAATTCCAGCTCCTGCAGGTGGCAGCAGGCCACCGCAAGACTAACCCTCCAAGCAGTAATGGGGCAAGGTACTTGCATAGGCCAAGTGCCCCCTGAACAATCACATCTTTGTCTATCAGTCCCTAGTGGGACAGCTTACCTGCTCCCCCCCGAAAATGCATGGTGGGCCTGTTCCAGCGGCCTCGCTCCCTGCATCCACTCCCAAATCCTCAACTCCTCAAAAGAAGGTTTTTGCATACTCGTCCAGCTAATCCCCAAGCTAGTATATCATTCGGGGGAGGAAATACTTAGCAGGTTAGGTTCTGCTAACCCCTGGAGTAGGAGAGAACCTGTCACAGCCCTAACCCTGGCTGCGCTCTTAGGGCTGGGACTAGCAGGGGCAGGAACTGGGATATCCTCGCTTGTCATACAAGACAAGAACTATGAAACCCTAAGAACAGCCATTGACCTAGACATAGAAAGAATTGAAAAATCCATTACCCATCTGCAAGAATCCCTTACTTCCTTATCTGAGGTAGTACTCCAGAACAGAAGAGGATTAGACTTATTATTCATGTAGCAAGGAGGCCTATGTGCAGCCCTAGGGGAGGAGTGTTGTTTTTATGTTGACCATTCAGGAGTTATTAAGGAATCCATGGCCCTCATAAGAGAGGGACTGCAGAAGCGGAAGCTAGAAAGGGAGCAATCTCAGTCTTGGTATAAGTCTTTATTTAACTGGTCCCCATGGTTAACTACTCTTATTTCCGCCCTCGCTGGACCCCTTGTAATCCTGTTGACCTTCGGCCCTTGCATTATCAACGGACTAGTCCAGTTTGTCAAAGAGCGTATAGGGGCGGTTCAGTTGATGGTTTTGCGCGCCCAGTACAGGCCTCTAGAAGCAGAAGACGAGGTAGAAATGCAGTCCGTCCCATGATTGGGCCCGTGAGTTCCAAGACAAGGGGGGAATGAAAGGGCAGAGCAGGACTGACTCCATTTTGTCCTGTGTCCTCCATCTTGTGTAACTATGTCCCTGACATGACCCCTTCTCCAAGAAAAAACACAGAATGTGTCAGTTACCCAGCTCACCCTTAAATCAGCCAATGGGAATGCAAGGGGAACTAACCTAAGGCCAAAAGTATGCTGACCGCATCCTGTCTTTGTGTAACCGGACCCTAGCCCATCTTGTCTTTGTGTCACTGGACCCTAGCCCTCACCCAACCAATCGGAATCGGCCAACTCAGTGGCCTGAGAATCACCCCACCACCCGACCCCAAGCCCTATAAAATTGCTGTGTTTCTGGAACTCGGGGCTCTTTTGCATCCTGCCGCTGCGTCGGTGGAGGCGGAGAGACCGGGCTCGAGCTAGAATAAAGGCTCTTTGCTTTTGCATCGGACTCGGCTCCCTGGTGATCTTTGGGGATCTTGAAATCTGGGCATTACAGTATCCAGGAGAACTACTTCTCAGTGACATGAAAAGAAATGGAATCTGATCCCAGGGTGGAAGTTGCAACCAGTGAGCCAGTTCATGAAGTGAATGATGACTGCAACAAAGAGTCCCCAGCACACCTATCCCCAAGCAAGGAATCCACACAGAGACAGAAATCAGCCTTCACAACAACAGCCTTGACTATTAAGCTTCCCACCAGCGTTTCAGGCAGTTCTGCTACCAGGAGGTAGCTGGCCCCCATGAAGCTTTTAGCACACTTTGGGAACTCTGATGTCAGTGGCTGAGGCCTAAGATACACTCAAAAGAAAATCCTAGAGCTGCTGATTTTGGAGCAGTTTCTTACTATCTTGCTGGAGGAGCTCCAGACCTGGGTGAAGAAACAGCATCCACAAAATGAGGAAGCTGTAGCTCTGGTTGAGGATGTACAGAGAGTGCCTGGGCAACAGGTGAGAAAAGGAAACCAGAACCTTGTAGTTTTGATTATAAGAAGTTGGGCTGAGGAGCACAGGTATTTAGTTACTAGAGAGGTGCTTAGTTGAGAAATGTACACTAGCCCTCTGCCACCCACCAAAATGCTAACTTTAGTTGGTCCTTTGCCCTTAGTCTATGGGAAGAATTTCACATTTGTTGAAATATCTTAGACATTCATATATTCAGTGAATGTTTAGAGACCCTAATTAAAGTGGTAAAAATACTCAGAACAGTTCTCTAAAACAAGGTCAGGGAAAGGAAAACTGCCCTTTACTAAGGAGGTCAGGAAAATTAGAGAGGTTGGTGAATTAAAATCTAATCTCTCTTGCTAGAAGGTACATTGAGAACACAAAGCCATGGGTAGTACGCTAAACAAAGTTGTATTGGAGTTAGTCTTTCCTGTCTGGATTAACAGGGTCAGTTAGGGACAAAGTGACAAGTTTCACACAATATCCTCATGTGGAGGTAGAGACTAGGTCTGAGATCCAATTAGTGTAACCACCTTGTATACTTTGGGAGAAGGGAGGTGTAAAAGGCTCAGGAGAAGGAAAAGTAAAATGAGGGTTAGGTTGTGAGAGACTTGGAAAAAGGCAACTGAAATCTGGATCAAAAGTCTGGGAGAGGCATAGAGTAATGGAGGAGTGTGGGTCAGAGGAATGCCATGGCTTACGTGGCTCTGTGGTCTGAGCAGGAAGCAGCTGGCTGGCTGCTGAGTCTAGGCTGGAATAGGAAGTAGTTATGTTTCCCAGTGAGAAGGTGGGATATAAATGAAACTTTGTAGTTTTTGGCATAATTTGGAGAGGGAAGAGCAGCATGGTGGGAATGCATTAGGTAAGAAATTGAAGAAGTTAATTTAAAATCCATGGGATTGGAACCATTAATGATAATTAGAATGGAATGAAGAAGGGCAAGCATAGCACACTTATGAAGTTAGAGTTTGGAGAGGTGAACTACCTGAAGTAGGAAACTCTATATACTAATAATCTTCCTGGTCCCAGTTCCCCTTGGTGATGGTGGTTCCCTTGTTGTCCCCCACCATTTCAGAACCAAACTCTGTTTGTTTGTTTGTTTGTTGTTATTTTTAAATGTTTTTATTGATTTTTAGAGAGGAAGGGAGGGAGATGGAGGGATAAACAGAGGTAGAAACATCATCGATTGGCTGTTTCCTGCACGCCCCCCACTAGAGATTGAGCCCAAAACCTGGGCATATGCCCTGACCAGGAATCAAACCAGTGACCTCTTGGTTCCTGAGTCAAAGCTCAATCACTGAGCAACACCGGCCAGGCTTTCGTTTTTTGTTTTTAATCTTCACTGAAGGATATTTTTCCATTGTTTTTAGAGAGAATGGAAGGGAAGGACAGAGGGAGAGAAAAAGAGAGAAAAACATCAATGTGAGAGAGACACATTATTGGTTACCTCCTGCACACACCCTGACCAGGGCTAGGGATTGAACCCACAACCCTTTGGGAGCAGCCAGAGAATCACTGAAATCCCATCTGAAACTGGGGTTCATCCAGAGGAACAGAGCTCACAGCAAAGACCACAGAAACAGAAGGTAAGCGGAAGCCTGTGCCCTCGCCTGAGCTGGGGCAGGAACAATCACCTTTGGGAAGAACAGATTTGAGCTTGGGTTTGCCCCGGGGTTCCAGATTAAATGCCTTTGAAATATACCTAAAAAACAAGATTTCAAACTAGTTGATGGTAATAGCACGTAAACAGGGTGGAGACCCTTTGCATGTAAGCCAAATTCTCTTTTATTACTATTTAATTCTATTATGTTGGAATTGGTTGTATTAAGGTGAATATGTTTACCGTGACCTTCCATGTAGTAGTTCTTCATGTACTTAAAGACATTAAATAAACCCTGCCCCATCCAGCTTAATCTCCTTCAGAATACATTTCTCCTATTATTTTTGCCTTTCTTTCAAAGCTCTAGTTTTTTTGTCTCAATTATTTTAGAAAAAAAAATTAATTAAAATTTTTCTTAATTTAGGTGAAATTCACATAACATAAAATTAGCCATTTTCAAATGAACAATCAGTGGCATTTTAGTACATTAAAAATGTTATACAGCCCTGGCTGGTTTGGCGTGGTGGATAGAGCGTTGGACTGCGGACCAAAGGGTCCCAGGTTTGATTCCAGTCAGGGCCCTGTACCTCGGTTACAAGCTCCTCCCCGGCCCAGGCTCTAGTTGGGGCACATGTAGGAGGTATTTCCTTCTTTCTTCCACTCTCTCTGAAAATTAATGGAGGAATGTCCTCGCGTGAGGATTAAACAATATATATATTACACAATCACTACTTCTGTCTAGTTCTAAAACGTTTTATTAAAGGAAACACTGTATCCATTAAGCAGTTTCTATTCATTCTCTGTCGATGGATCTGCCTGTTCTGGACATTTCATAGAAATGGAATCCTATAATATGTGACTTTTTGTGTCTGGCCTCTTTCACTTGGCATGTTTGCAGCATGTATCACTTCATTCTTTTTTACGGCTGACGGATATTCCATTACATGGACAGACCAAGGCTCTCTATTTGTAAGTCTCTTTCCATTAAGCACTTTAGCTCCATACATTTTTAGAAAGCCTAAAGACCACTGTGGCCTTTTCCGCTTCATTGAAAGCTGCCCTTGCAGGTTGCTAAATAAGTTTTAAAAGCTAGCTCATCTTTATATGACTCAAATCCTAGGAGGAGAGCATGGTGTCTTCATGCTATTTATTTAAATTGGTAAGCTTCTGCTAATGAAATGGGTAATTGTCTAAAAGGTTTATTAACTTTTGTATTTTTTGAGCAGTGTAAATATTCTATCAATATCTTTTTAAACTTTGCCATTTAGCATTTATGTCCTTTTAATCCTTGGGAACATCTGTGCTCTCTTGTGTGTGATTTCTGAAGCTTTGGGGTCTAAGTAAAGGGGGTAGGACTCACTATGTTCCAGTTCTGCTCCCGTCAGTCACCATGCCCACAGGCTGCTCAGATCCCAAGTGTTGTAACCTCCCCACTTCCACAGACCTCTGAATGTCATCAAAATGAACCATTTCTTTTGTAGAATTCTTGAAGGTGGGATCTGGGAAAGAATACATAATCTTGGTCTGAAAAAAATAAGAGGTTTGAGTTGTGGTATTTTTAAGAGTATTTAGTTATCTCTAGTGGGCTGTGAGACACTCCCCACCACCACCATTATTGTCTTAAAATGTTTCTATAATGTGCACATATTTCTTTGGAATGAAAAAAAAAAACTTTAAAAAAAAAGCTGTTTTGGGAATAATCATCTAGTAAAATTAACTTCTCTACACACAGTGAGGTATTGGCTATGAAAGTCTTCCTCAGACTTGACTGTGCATCATACTCATCTGGGGACATGTTAAAATAGATTCCCAGGCATCATTTCCAGGCTTTCTCAGTAGATCTGAGGTGGGTCCTGGGAATATGCATGTGTAACAGGCTCCCAGGTAGTGCTGATGCTGTAGGTCCAGGGATCCCACTCGGAACCTCTGTTAGTGGAAGCTGCCCTCTAATAGTGGATATTTCTCCCCTAGCCTGGCTTACTCCACAGGCTGCCAGGAACCATCTCCAGAAGAGGGGTCTTCAAAACCAGGAGATGGTGCTGGGCTCTGTACCACAGAGATCAGGTGAGCTGTGGTTGATGTTTTTTGTCTCTTGAAGTTCCCATTTCACTTTGTACTGACTCACTCTAAAACTCATTCTTTCCCAAAGATGTTATAAAGAATTTTATGTGGTCCATTGAGCTTGTCGTGGGTTTTTTTCTTATTCTGTCTACTTAGGCATCACATGGCTGCTTATCTACCCCAATCCTTCCCAAAGAGGCCATACCTCCCTTACCTTGCTTTGCCTCTGACCTGATAACTATCGTCCTGACTCTGCCCCACCCCAGGGCTAGAGCAGTGCTATTTTGTTTTATTTTATTATTTATTTTTATTAATTTTTAATCCTCACCCAAGAAAAGTAAGGTTACCACAAATTTGGAGCTAAAAAGTGTTACAATTGGAAAATAAAATTTAGCAGAAGACTTAGTCACATGAAGAATTCAATTAGGTATTACTTCTTTATGGTAGTTTAATTGTAACTCTTTCCTCATTCCATCGTTTTCCTTCTCCAGAGTGTAATGTAATTTTATTCTTTCAGGTTCTGAGATGAAGAATGGGGTTACAAAAGAGAATCTAAAATGAGATAATTCAGAAGTGGTAGAAAGAACAAGGATTTACAGAGAAAGTTTAGTAGAAAAGTTTTTTGGCACTTTGAGTTCAAAACAGGCTAGGAGCGTGAACCAATGACAAGAAAGTAACATAGACATTGTCCAGAGGAGAGTGAGGAGACAGCCCCATCCCAGGAGAGGATGAGTCACCAGATATTTTGGACTGAGAACTGGAAAAAGCTTCTAAATGTCATGAATGTGGGAAAAGCTTTAGCTGAGTTTTTTTTTTTTTTTACCTTGTTCGGCATCAGAATCCATAGAGCAGAGAAGCCTCACAAGTACTGTGAATACGGAAAAGGCTTCAATGAACACTCCAACCCCACTGCCCACCTGAGGACTCACATAGGAGAAAGACCATTCTAGTGTGGGGAATGTGGGAAAAGCTTCAACCAGAGCTCCAGCCTCATTGTTCACCAGAGGACCTACACTGGGGAGAAGCCTTATCAGTGCACTATCTGTGGGAAGAGAGTCAACAAGTTCCCATTTAGCGCTCACTGGCAAGTCCACCTTGTGGAGGGCCTGTACCAGTGTGCCCAGTGTGGGAAAAGCTTTAAGAATAGCTCCTGCTGAGGCGGCTGATCGATGTTTCTCTCTCATCAATGTTTCTAACTCTCTATCCCTCTCCTTTCCTCTCTAAAAAAAATCAATAAAATATACTAAAAAAAAAAAATAGCTCCTGCTTCAGTGCCCACCAGGAAACCCGCACTGGGGAAAAGCCACACAAGTGCATCCAGTGTGAGAGAAGCTTCACTAAGAACTCTTCATTCATATGCCATCGGGATATACATAAGAGATACATAAAAGGAAGGAAGTGATGTCCAAGTTTGTAGAAAACCTGACATCAACTCCTTAGGTCAACATATGTTTCTGAGAGCTTTCCTCTGTGGATAGTTCTACTAGCCAATCCCTGGCTTAGCAGTAAACTTGACAACTGGATCTCAAGAACCATGTCCAGGAATAGGAATCAACCTAAGAATGCAGAGCCCTCTTTCTATTTCTGCCTAGATACTTCACAGTCTTGTCTCACTGTGGATTTCCATTTTGCTTTGAAGGGGAGAAGGCTATAAAATCCATAATTCCTGCTGGGAAACTACGGTATCCTTGTTCTGAACAAAGAACATGTAGCTAGTGGCCTAAGAACTGTTTCTGAGCCATATCAGGGAATAAATACTGTCCCCTCCTGGGGAGTACATCTAGAATTTTAATAGTCTGGATCTGTTCTAAACCAATAATTGACCACTAGGTACCTACTACTATATACTATTGAAGCCTTCAGGTCATATTCTGCAACAGAGCCATGAACAAAGGAAAGAAAGGCTAGGTTAAGCCATTGGGTAATATGAAATCAAAGCAACCTAATCTTAAGCAAGTGTGATATCTAAGTTAATTTTGTAAGATTTCTCATCACCATCACTCCCAACCCAGTTTTTGGTTTCTTCTCTCGCAGCATTTATACAAGTTTATAAGCATTATTATCTCTGATGAAAATAAAGGTATTTCTCCCTCCCCTTCCTTGGCCTATGGTTATAATTTTCTCAATTAGAAACTCTGCACTTGTGTTGAAGCCTTCAGGGTTCTGAAGAGGATCTATGCAGAAAGAGAATTAGGGGCAAGAAATAGGGAGAGGAGGAATAGAATTTGGTGGGAAGGATTTGAGGTCACAGTGAAGGGAGATCATAGGCATAAGGAAAATATAGGAACTGCAGGAGGCTGTGCCTGCATGTGAAAGGAAGAGTGAATGTGAGGAGCACTAGGAACCAAAATTACTAGTACAGCTTACTGATACCGAACAAGGTGTAGATATTCCAGCTTCTGTGAAATCTCCATAGATAAAATGGTAAAAGATGGGTATGTTATACAGTTCTTGGCCCTTACAGGCAAGATGTTAGTACCTTGGCTAAGGTATGTTGAAAAGCGAGCAAAATGGTTTCTGAGGTTTTTTTTGAGGATTTCAATATGAGCAAAGCAGGCCCCCCAAAATTTTCTTTTTTCTAAATTTTGGGGAAGAAGAGGATGCAAAGGCAGGACAGAAGAACATACTTCAGTATTTCCTCAGTTTGAGCCTTGCTGGAGCTACTCTAAGATTCCCTGCATACCGTGTCCTTAAGCATGGCCCTTATAACAAGTTATGTAGGTTAGTTCCCAAAGTCACATAATTACATACTCTGCACAGAGGCAAAAATTAACATCTTCCAAAATCCTGGGCAAAGGCAATGAGTTAGGCTTGAATGTGACCTGTTTGGGACAGCCTGGCATGGAATGGATATATTAATGAAAAGCTTTGGATATGAGCTTGAAGAAGTTAGATTTGATGACAGCAGAGCCAGTGAAAGTCAATGAAAATGCTAAGGAAGTGGGGATATTTAATGAGGTCTCACTATCAGGGTTCTCCCACTCATGGGTTTGCAGTGGCTAGGGAAAACTGATGCAAGTGTTGACTTCCTTGCAGTTTGAGTTTGCCTCTACCCTCCAACGTGCTTTATTCTAGAGTATGCTGGGCAGAAAAAGGAACACGTAACACTTGCCTGTGAGCTATTCTGGATGGTCTGGAGTAGACAGGTAAGAATTGGAGAATACATTCATTTAGGAAATATTTGATTGTCTATAGGGTACCAGGATTTATAGTAGGAGGTACATACAAAGCAGTGAACAAAGACACTATCTTCTAGAACTATCCTCATTGGACACCTCAGAAATACCAGTGTCATGCCCGGTCGGTGTGGATCAGTGGTTGAGCGATGACCTATGAACCAAGAGGTCACAGTTTGACTTCCAGTCAGGGTACATGCCTATAGATAATTCTCTCACTATTGATGTTTCTCTCTCTCTTCCTTTCTAAAACCAATAAAAATATATTAAAAAGAAATGTCAGTGCCAGTCTGGCAGTACCACCTAGCCAACAACCCCCCAAGATCTGAATGCCAGCTCTGCAGGGCCTCTCTTCTAAGCTTCCAATTTCTGATAAACACAGACTTGTTCTTGTATTCTCCCAACCCCCTGTATGGTGCTTCCTATAGTTATGATCTCTATTACCTTAGTGTTTATGTATATTGCCTAACATTGCCTCAGTGCACTACCTACTTGAGAATGAATTTGAAGTAGGTTGTACAAAAGGCAACACTCCCAAGTCTATAGAGTTCTTCAGCTGTGTAACAATATCCTCTTGGTTTGATTCAGCCCTTCAGATGTTCATTAAAAAGCCAGATTTTCCCCCTGAAAATTAACTACTAGGGCTCTTCATATGGTTTCTTAGTATCTCCATCACTGAAGCATTTTAACTAATTGGTTAAATTTTTCAATTGACACTTCCTTTTTTTTTTTAACTTAAAAAATATGTATTTTTATTTATTTTAGAGAGAGGAAAGGAGAGGGATAGAAACACTGATGAGAGAGAAACATAGATTGGCGGTCTCCTTCATGTCCCCTACTGGGGATACAGCCCACAACCTGGGCATGTGCCCTGATCCAGAATCAAACCGTGACCTCCTGGTTCATAGGTCATTGTTCAACCACTGAGCCATACCCCGCAAGGCAACACTATTTCTTTTTTTAAATATATTTCTTTATTGATTTTGGAGAGGAAGGGAGGAGAGAGAGAAACATCAATGATGAGAATCATTGATTGGCTGCCTCCTGCACATACCCCCCCTACTGGGGATCGAGCCCGCAACCCAGGCATGTGCCCTTGGCCGGAATCGAACCTGGGACCCTTCAGTCCGCAGGCTGACGCTCTATCTACTGAGCCAAGCCGGCTAGGGCTACACTATTTCTTTTTTTCCAAGAATTCCTAACCATTTCCCATAGACTGGATCAGATATTCTCACTATAATCCAGAGAAATGTAGGGCAAAGCCTATTTCAGTGATGGCGAACCTTTTGAGCTTGGTGTGTCAGCATTTTGAAAAACCCTAACTTAACTCTGGTGCCGTGTCACATATAGAAATTTTTTTATATTTGCAACCATAGTAAAACAAAGACTTATATTTTTGATATTTTATATATTTAAATGCCATTTAACGAAGAAAAATCAACCAAAAAAATGAGTTCACGTGTCACCTCTGACACGTGTGTCATAGGTCCGCATCACTGGCCTATTGTCACCCTTTTTCTTCAGCCTAAGGTGGTGGATGGGTGGTCATAGCTAAAGCAGAGCTAGGCCCCTGAAACCTCCTTACCCCACTTTCCTTTGCTCTTGCTACCTCTTCTATGCTTCTTCTGTAAAAGGATTCTTTACCAGTCAGTTTAAGAACAGCCCGGGACTTCTGGTATCCTGAACCATTGCTCATGGATGAATCCTTGCTTTCATTGTTATTAGCTCTAGACTCCTTGCAGTCCAGTTGCTCATCCTGGCTTGACTTCTGGGTAGAGATAAGAGAAAGACTGAGCATTCTTTTAATGCCTAATGCTAAAAGTGGGACTAAAACTTTTTTTAACCCAATGTTTTATCCTGTTATTAATATTGCATAGATACTGCAAAATATTCTCACCTAAAAATAGTCTCGTCATTTTCTTACCTCAAAATTACACTCCTCAAAGGAAATGATTAATACTGTATAGATCTTTCTGGACCTTAATCTGTATTTATGCCCATGTACTACCTTTTCAAGTTTTTATTTCAATATATTGACCTCATCTTTAAAAAACAAAAACAAAAAATTGCATTTAGGTATGTACTGCAACATATTCAATCTTCAATCATTTCCCTTTTGATATGACACGTTCCTTAATATTCATGTGTTATTCTAGATTGCAATTTTCTGGATATATATTCAAGAGGGAGCTAATGAATTGGGGTGTTTAGTGTAAGGGAAAAAGTAGTGGCAGTTTCTACTGATCTGCCTTTATTCTGTCCCCCTTCATCCCTCAATCATTTCTAAACACTCTTGCTGCACAATGAAGGTGCGTAGTTCATCAGAATATAAATGGAAGGAGGTGAAATATGAAATAGACTGATACACCTCCTGAGGTTATATATCCCATCTTTGATTAAGCATAACACTGAGCTATTTATTCTAAGCACACTTATCTACTTTGATCCTTGCAACATATCTGCAAGCTATTGTATTTATTTTACAGGTGGTGAAACAGTATCAGAGAAATCCACTGACTACCATAACTGCAGAATATAACAAAATGCTCAGGTACCTTTGGCTCCAGTGTCATGAACTTTCTAGGGTATCTTGTTGTCTCCCTGTTCAGAGGGCAGTGTAACCAGATGGCTGCATTGACGGGAAGGAGCAGAGTCTGACTGTGAAAAGAAGCAGGGGGAGAACAGTGCTTCTCCGCAGCCCTAGTCATGTTTCTCCTCAGCCACCTAGAAACTTCTGCAGTGCACCCTGAAGGTGTGTTTCTTAGGCTGCAGATAAGAGTGGAGCATGGGTTTAACTATAAGAACAGGATAAGGAGCCCTGGCCATGTGGCTCAGTTGATTGGAGCATCATCCCATATATCCACCCATAAAAAAAAAAAAAAAAAAAAAGGTTGAGGGTTCGATTTCTGACCAGCGCACATACCTATGTTCGATCCCCGGCAGGGGCAAGTATAGGAAGCAACAGATCCATGTTTCTCACATCCATGGGTTTTTTTTCTTCTTTCTCTAAAATCAATTTTAAAAATATCCCCCAGTGAGGATTAAAAACAAACAGGATAAAGATAAGTAGCTCTTCTTAGGGTAGGTTTAGTCAAGTGACTGCTAAAGATTAGTCCACCACCACCACCTGGAAAATTCGGGATCCAAAGCCTTTGCTTCTCTCTGTCGTTGGTTGCATTGACAGGAAAGAGCAGAGTCTGATTGTGAAAAGAATCAGACTTGGTTAGCTTTGCCAATACTGCCACAGGTGACAAGGTCAAGCCCATGGAGATCAAGAAGATGATGACTGTGTCACTAAGACCTTAAACTTTTTGAAACAGGCCAGGTTATGTAGTAGAAACATACAGCACTAATGTCTCAGTGCTTAAGCACAAGAGTTTATTTCTCATTCCCACAAAGCCCGTCAAGCCCATGGAGATCAAGAAGATGACTGTGTCACTAAGACCTTGAACTTTTTGAAACAGGCCAGGTTATGTAGTAGAAACACACAGTACTAATGTCTCAGTGGTTAAGCACAAGAGTTTATTTCTCATTCCCACAAAGCCCATTATAGGTCTGGGGACTCTCCAGAACTGCTGTCCTGCCATGTGGGAGACACAGCATTCCAAACTGGTTTGATCTCATGGCTCCTCTCTCTGTATGTGCTTCCATGATTGAGGCGAGAAAAGGAGAGTACTGCAGAGTTCCACACCATCAAATAAATGCTTCAGTCCAGAAATGAGGCTTCTGCTCACAACCCAATGAACAACCTGATGAGCCTAACTGCAAGGAGCAGAAAAGCATAACCATTCTCCTTTTTACTATTCGCTAAAATACAAATTGCATGAGGATATGCATTTTTTCTCTTTTGTTCACTACTATATCCTTGGTCTACAACAGTCCATGCCTGGGCACATAACAGGCCCTCATCAAATTAAATGAATGAGTAGGGCTAGGAAGAAATCCACATGTATCTTGGGAGAAGAGACGGAGTCCCAGGGGTCTAAGGCTGAGGCTGTTGGGTAAGAGCTATGTAGACTAGAGATTCAGAGCCGGCCTTGATTTAGAAATACTTGGTGTAGTTTATCTTGGGAACAAAATCCCACTGAGAGTGCCAGATAGTTCAGGTGATTTACACAGAAAAGCACTGAAGTCACAGACCAAACCAAGACAGCATATCCCTTACTACCAGGGCTCAGCTCCTGAAAGGAGCTGCAAGAGCCACCAATGCACCCTGGCTGGGTAGTTCAGTAGAGCGTCACATACAAGAATCAACCAATGAATTCATGAGTAAGTGGAACAACAAATTGATGTCTTTCTCTATCTCAAATCAATTTTAAAAAAAAGCCACAAATGCATTTGCTCCTTTAATGTAGTCAGTCACCCAACATATTACTAGGGAGCAGGGAAAAACACACACATTGATTGAGCCAGGCTGATAGGTGCTCTTCTTTCATCAACCCCTGAAATCCCCACATCAACCATGAGGTGTTTTCTCTGTTTCATTGAGAAAAGAGACTTGAGAGGGTTTCAGTAACCAATCAAGAAACAGGACTGTTTTATAAGCTAGAAATAGAAATAGATACAATGTCATTTAGGCTGGCTCCGTGTAGATAACATACAGTCCTGATAATCCTGCCTTCAGGTCTGACTGATGAAGCTAAGTGACAGCCAACAGACCCACTAGCTATGGGGTCTTGAACAGACCAAGTCCCTGAATATTTGAGCCCTAACTTCCTCATTTGTGAAATAACACACTTGGAACCTTTTTCCTAATACTACCTAAAAGCTCTTAAAGGAACAAATCTGAGTCAAAGATAAAGGGTGAATTATTATTTTTTTAAATATATTTTATTGATTTTTTACAGAGAGGAAGGAACAGAGATAGAGAGTTAGAAACATCGATGAGAGAGAAACATTGATCAGCTGCCTCCTGCACATCTCCTACTGGGGATGTGCCCGCAACCCAGGTACATGCCCTTGACCGGAATCGAACCTGGGACCTTTGAGTCCGCAGGCCGATGCTCTATCCACTGAGCCAAACTGGTTTCGGCAAGGGTGAATTATTAGAAAACCTACAGACTAGCCATGGCCGGTAGCTCAGTTGGTTAGAACATTATCCTGATATGCCAAGGTTGCGGGTTCAATCCCCAGGAAGGGCATACACAAGAATAAACCAATAAATGCATGACTAAGTAGAACAACAACTCGATATTTCTCTCTAAAACAAATTAAAAGAGCCTTAGCCAGTCTGGCTTAGAGTGTCAGCCTGTGGAATGAAGGGTCCCAGGTTCAATTCCAGTCAAGGGCACATGCCAGGGTTGCGAGCTCCATCCCTAGTGGGAGCGTGCAGGAGGCAGCTACTTGATGATTTTCTCTCATTAATGTTTCTCTTTCCCTCTCCCTTCCTCTCTGAAATCAATAAAAATATATTTTAAATAAAAAGAAAAAGAAAACTCACAGTCTAGAGAGATGGTCAGCAGTCTATCCAACCCTCCCAAAGCAACTGCTAATTGCTGCGCTGGAGAAAACAGACACTGGTGGACCATGCCTGTTAAATAGATTGCAGTGTAAGACAACCAACATGGGTGTAGATTTTCCCAATTTGCCCACCACTGAGCATGAGTCCTCAAACATTTTTTTGGAAACCTGGTCTTATGCTGACTGAATTCCCACCATGACCAGTGAGCCACAGAATCCTGTCTGCAGCACACAGTCCTATTCCCAAACATAAACTCTCTCCTTCTTAAAAACAAATGTCAAATTAATGAGTAAACAAACAAAATCCTGATAATTTGATCCTAAGCTCCAATTAATTTTATTTTAGACCTCAGGAAAGTGCTAATTTTTATGATTGTTTTATCCTATTAACCTTGTGAGGGAAGGAAACGATTTACTTTGTTTTGCAGAAAATTCTTATTTATTTATTTATTTATTTAAGTTAGTGATAAAAAAAATTTAATGAGAAAAATCATTCAAGGTACTTAAGGAGAGCAAGACTGGGTTTGTCTGAACTTGGGGTAACAAAACATGTTCATTCTCTTCCTTGACTGTTTGGAAAATAAGTTACGCTCTTAGAGAGAAAGCCATAGGGGTGAAGAGGAGAATGAAGTGGCCAGCCCAGTAGATGTCCTGAGCCATCAAGAACTGCCCGGATCACCCCACCTTAGGTTACATCTAACACATATTCCATGGCTAAAAATTTCAACTGTTTCCATATGATCTACTAGAAATGTTTTCTTTTCTCAAATACCATCAATGAGAGGCATAAGATATTAGTTATTTGGCAGATACCCTAGTGATAAAGTAAATATGATTCCATCACAGAAAAATTGTGCTAATAGGATTCAAGAGCTAAAGTAGCTAAAAAGTTCAAGGATTCACATGATGTCCAATGATGAGAGGAAGAAAGTACAATTTGGTTCTTGGAAAACTTTACAATAGAATTCATTTCTACCCTATGAGACTATTGAAATTGATTATCCTATTACCCTGAAGTAATAGTATGCAATAAAACAAGGATGTTATTGCATTTGTTACAAAAGACCATGCTACAAATGTTTCTATCACATGTTTAAGAGTAGGTGGGAAAACCAACAATATTTACATCTGTGACCACAGATGATTGATTCATAGTTTCGTGTACTATTTGAAGCTGAATTTGCTATATTGCCAGGTACAATCCCAAACAGAGTTTTCCCTCATTCAGAAGGTTTTTCAAACACCTTTTGCTAAGAAACTCCCCGAAGGGTAAGTAAAAACAGTAATAATACAACTACTACTATGTCCCCTGCAGAGTCCAGCTTGATTCCTTTCTGTGAAAGTTTATATCCCCAAATTTTCCACTGATGAAAAATTTTTCATGCTTCATAAATTTGCATTTTCATAAACTTTATGGTCAAGCTCCACTTGGTAAAATTCTTCAGCCTGAGGACATTGAACAAGCTTCCCTTAATTGGTGGTTTCTGGTGCCTGAGAAGGCTTGACCACCTGCTGAAGTTTCTCATGCATATGCTATAGGTGGCTTCTCCGGTGTTTAATAAGGTGGGAGTTCTGAATGAATTTTTTCCCACATTCATGGCATGTGAAGGGCTTCTCTCCGGTGTGAGTTCTTTGGTGTGTGTGTAGATTTGAAGTTTGACCAAAGCTCTTCCCACACCATGAGCATTTATATGGTTTTATCCCTTGGTGTGTTGTTAAGTGCTTATTAAGATCTGAACTCCACCTAAATCTCTTATCACACTGTGGGCATTTATACGGTTTCTCTTCAGTATGAATTCTTTGGTGCTTAATAAGGCCAGAGCTAACTCTAAAGCTTTTCCCACATTCCTGACATTTAAAAGACTTCTCTCCTGCACGTTCTTTCTTGTGACGATCTATAAGTTTCAGTAGCTCTTGTCTCCAGGTTGAAAGTTTCTCTCTTTCCTTCACTGAAAAGTCTTGGTGCCATTTCCCCACTCTGTGTATATCACCATGATTTTCTTGGACTGTTGTTTTCTGAGGAACTTTCACTCTGTCCATTTTTGAAACTATGTCTCCTGGTGTTGGCATTTCTAAGTCAGAAAGGCATATAGATTGATGATTTTCAATGTCATTTTTGAGGTTTAACCCTGTTGGAATAAACATAAAAATCAACCAACTAAATAGCAGAAAGAAACCTCAAGAATAGAGACAAAAATTCAATGATTATTCAATTTTAAAATACAGATAAGTAGAATCTTAAATTAAGTCTTTGCAAAGACTTTTTTTGAGGGCACATTTCCCTTCTTCTCATGGTATATTTATCTATATGCAGCACTCCAGGACTGTCCTTGAATTCCACGGATCCTTGAACTCATGGCTCTTTCTCTTGCTCTAGACAGGTCACTGTATGGCTATGAAATGGAAAAACTGAGGTCAAGGACCGCTAATTTAACTATGTCCATTAATTATAGACTATTTCAGGAACAACAAAGAATACTTTTACAGTTTGTTACCCCAAATGGTTAAATGAATAGACTCTCATATCAGATATCAGGTTGATACTACACTGCATTTGTGAATAGATATGCAAAGTGGAGATTAAGAAATAAATCTAGCTAGCTTGATTGATCAAAAGGACACAGTTCATGGGAATCTTGTGCATATTCCCCCTCTTCTGCCACCAATAATACCCCACACTTGACTGAGTTGGAATAAACTCCAGAGGCTGCAGGGAATGCAGGCTAGTTCTATCAACTCTTTAGGACTCACCCTGAATAACATCTAGTCTAGCGGAGTCAAAGTAAAGGCCAGTGCGGTGGGAATCATATGCATAAGTGATTGCTGTCATAATTATACTTTTTATTTAGCAGCCGAACACCAGATACTAAACTGGTATTTCTACCACTCATAGCTCATTGGTTCACATCCCATTGAATGAAACAAACCAGAATCACTTAGTGGACTTTTTGTAACTATGTATTATCAAATATGAGATGTAGTCATCATTCAGTCTTTTAACATGTGTATCAAATGGCCATGGTGTGCCAGACACTCTCTATGAATAACAGATATAGTGATGCATAAGCCAAAGTTCCCTGATCTCAGAGAATTTATCTGCTAGTGGGAGAGTGAGACAATCAAACATGAATAATCAAATGAAATGGCAGGAAATGATAAATGTTTTAAGAGAAACAAAAGCAGGGTAAGAGAGCATTTAAGACTCTACTTCCCGCCCCGCCAGTGTGGCTCAGTGGTTGAACATCAACCCATGAACCAAGAGGTCCCTGGTTTGATTCCCAGATCAGGTTGTGGGAATCTATCTTTGCCTATCTATTGATCCCTGGTGGGGAATGATCAATGTTTCTCTCACTGATGTTTCTCTCTATCCCTCTCCCTTCCTCTCTCTCTCTAAAATCAATGAAAACATTATTTTAAAAAACACACACACACACATTAAAAAAGATTCTGCTTCTATTAAGCTATTTGAGATATGGCTCTGTGGAAGGCCTCTCTGAGAAAGTGATATTTGAATTGACCTAAAAGTGAGAGTTTTGCCATGTGGCAGAAAAGTGTGCTGGGTAGAGGGAAGCCGAAAGTACAAATGAGCATGGCAAGTTCAAAAAACAGCATTAAGAATAGTGTGGCTAAAGAGAACTGAACAAGGGCACTAGCAGCAAGAGCTCAGGGCAAGGAGGTTATAGAGGCCAGATTGAGAGAGTACCGGAAGCCTTTGTAAGGAGGCTTTATTCTAAATGGATGAGAAGTCATCATAAGATTTTGAAACAAGAAAATGTCATCATCTGATCAGGTTTTAAAAGACTGTGTCTGCTGCATGGAAAACAGATGATGGGAGGGCAAGGCTGATGGCAGAAAGAGCTAGTTAGAAAGTGAATGAGGTAAACCTGGTCAGAGATGGCTTAGACCCAATGTTAACAGCACAAGAAGAGACATGGTTGGACTCGCACAATACTGTGAATGTGGACTCAAGAGGACTAGTGATGCATTAGTAGTGGGATATGATGGCAAAATCAGAGTAAACGACTATATTTTTCTTGCTCTGAGCAACTGGGTGAATGAAGGTGCCCTTTACTGAGTAGAGAAAGATATGAGAAGAGCAGGTTTGTGAGGGAAGAGAGAAAGGAGGTCAAAAATTCTATGCAGGATAAGGAATGTGTACTTGAAAGGAGCTCCAAAGTGACCTGCACTCACCTTTTCCTGTCCACACCATTGAGTGGAGAACCAACCAGCTCCTGGAACAGACTCTCTCACAAGAGTGTGCATTCCCCGTAAGTTGAAAACATGACATATCACTCAACTTCTACACAAAGGGGAGAACCTTTACCTAGAGAGATGACAGTCTCATAGTTTTCCTGCATTACGTCATTGTAGAGGGCCTTCTGACTGGAATCCAGTAACTCCCATTCTTCCGGGGAAAAATACACAGCCACTTCTTCAAACGTCAACAAGCTCTAAAGAAGAGAATGGGCTTCAGCTCAGTACTGGCCACTCCAGAAGTAGTTCTAACATCTGGCCCATGAACTGCATGATAGGCTGAAGGCATTAACAGCACATGATTTTTTTGTTTTGTTATTAAATTCTTTTATTGATTGATTGGAGAGAGAAAAAAGAAAGTGAGAGGAGGGACACATTGATTTGCTGTTCCAGTTATTTATGCATTCATTGATTGCTTCTTGTATATGCCCTAATTGGAGAATTGAACCTGCAACCTTGGCATACTGGGATGACACTCTAAACAACTGAGCTACCCCACCAGGGCCCAGTACATGTTTTGTTGTGTGTGTGTTTTTTAAGTGAGAAGGCAGAAAGGAAGGAGGCAAGGGATCAGCAAACAGTCCATGAGGTGTCCAGTTCCCCAGGAAAAACATCTGGGCTAACATGCCTCTGAGCACCTGCTGGGCAGTGTAGGTCTCATGGGCAACAGAGAAAAGCTCAAAAGCATGGCTCACCTGGGACTCAGGCAAGATGAACTCAGGTGCCACTATCCAGTCTTTGGTATTTGTCTGCTCAGGAAATTCTAGGATCTGGTGAGTAGGCATAGCTATGGGTGGAAAAGAGCCATCAGAAATTTCTCTCACTTCTATGCACATCCTGAGCTCATTTCTAAAATAAAGATCTTGATTCTTTCAGTGTGTGTGGTGACCATAAGTGGCCTTATCATTGTTAATAAGAACCAAGTATCTATCAACCCCAGAACAGGTTGCCTAGTTTTCATGAAGCTAAAACAAAAATCCTTCTTATTTTCCTCTTATGACAAACTAGAGGCCTGGTGCACGGATTTGTGCACATTGGAAGGAAATTAATTAGAATATTTTAATATCGCTATTTGCCCTTTCTCTATAATAGAAGTGTCAATCAAATTCACGATCGACAACGACAGATTGAAACACGTGTGCAACTGGCGCCAGAAAGAGTTTTATATGTATTGCGCATGCGCGAGTCAACTTAGCCTTTTATATAGAGAGAATAAACTTGCTTAATTAGACCTGCTTTCTGATGTAGCTAAACTTTTTCCAGCCCAGTGAAGCACCCCAACTTCTCTTTCAGATAATTGTCAGCAACACAGCAGTAAATATCAACACGAAGCAGATTATTATTGTAGATCATGCAAGGAGAATGGTAAAATATTTAACTGCAGCAGTGTTTGACTATATTCTGCACAGTGAGAAAACCTGAAGTCATTTTCAAGGTCCATCATTTCTACTTCTTTTTAGTCGGGTCAAGTTTCTAAATCTGTTTTCCAGCTAATGAAAAAAAAATAGGATTGCACCAAGTCTCCTATCTACTACTATAGGATTTCTGTGAGGATCAAATGACATGAGGCACAGGAAAACGCTTCACAGACATTTGGTTAAAGTGTAAAATGTTTGCACCTGGCTCTAAAGCAAGTCATGTTCCTGGGCTGAAGAAACTCCAAGGAGGCTAGTCACTAGGGAGAGGAAGCTGGGCGTTGCTATGTGACATCATTACCCTGCACCCACAGCACCCGTTTCTGGGCTGGGCTGTGGACTGCATTTTGCGCCATGGGGTCTCAGCAGCGTTGGCTGCGATTTGGTGGGGTGTTGCTCTGAGGTGGTGGCGAGGCCTGTGTCCCACTTGGGGGAAGCTGAGTGTTGGTTTGTCGACACCAGATCTGTGGTGCCGCTTCTTTGTAAATGGCCAGTGCGCACCATGGCAGCTCCTGTGTTGAGCATCTGCCCCATGGTGGTCAGTGTGTGTCATAGCTACCAGTTGGATGATCAGAGGGACACTTAGCATATTGGCCTTTTATATATATAGATAGTTCTGAATTAAGAAAAATTTAATGGATTTGAAAATGAAATTCTGAGGGACTCCAGTGTACAGTAGATGTATTATTTATCATTTACTTATTTTCATGGTACACAATTATAGTTCACATACTGCCACTGACAGCCCATTTGTGATCCCAATTCCTTCTGTGATTTGAGGATGGGGTGGCCCAATCCTCCACTTTGCTAAGGAACAGTGTTCATGGTGTTATTACCAGGGTCCTCTGGTTTGGATATTTCTGTACCTTAGGCCAATCCCCTCCTTCACAACAGCTGGTCTATTCTAAGGCCATCTGTGAGGGGTGGGGGTAGGGGTAATCATAATTGCTAACATGACTACATTTGCACATCCACAAAGCTGGGAACCCAGAAAGTGCTCACAATGTTCTGGCTGGACAAATTACTATGACAGCTCCCAGCAGAAAGAAATTATCATGAAGCTCCTTACCCCTCTCACACATAGGCTCAGTTTCTTTATGAGTATTCCTGCTCAGCTGTTGTTGATCCTGATATTCATTCCAAAATTCTTCATCCTGGGACCTGCCCACTGGCTGGGACTCTGCTGGCCTCAGTTTGAAGCCTGAGGTCTCTGCTGTTTCTCCCAAGAGCACTGCCTCCTTTCCCAGCACATGGACTGCAACCTGGAAATAATTCCCATCCATATTACCAGAATTACTTGAGGCTTGGGCTTGTGGAAGAGGAGAAAGCATATAGTCCAGATTGTGGGAAGTGTGAAAACACCCACCCATTTTCCACAAAGTCTGGGAAATTTAGGATAAAAGGAAAAAGATGTGGCTACTGCCAGCCCTTCAACAAAGTAGCCTCTACATACAGCCTAGCTCAGACCACTAGCAGGGTTGTGAGGGCCACCTGTGTTCATGCTGTCTTGACAGCCTCTCTCTCTTCATTTTGATCCCCACTGCAGTGATTTATATTATACTTTTCTCAAAAGATTAAAAATTTTAACTGTCCTATCAACCAGATTTTCTCTATGATCAGAGAATGTTGATAAAATGGAGAAGGGGGAGGAATGAGCTTGGTTCCAACATCCTTCCAAATGATTTGACACCAAACATATGTCCTGCCCTGTAGTCTTTAAATTTTTTCTTAATATACATATGTGTTGTTGTTTTTTTAATTGATTTCAGAGAGGAAGAGGGAGACAGGGATAGAAACATCAATGATGAGAATCATTGATCGGCTGCCTCTTACACGACCCTTACTGGAAATCAAGCCCATAATCCACCATGTGCCCTGAGTGAGAATCGAACCGTGACCTCCTGGTTCTAGGTTGAGTCTCAAGCACTGAGCCATGCAGGTCCGGCCTGTCCTGTATTCCTGACAGTAGACCGGAAGCCAGCTGATATGCTGCCACCTGCCCAAGGGCATACCCTGGATTCCCACTCACCAGATGAGCCAAGAACCAACCCCTAAGGGAGGGCAGTGCAGGGTCTTAACTATGGCATAGAGGACACTATCCCACAACATCTTATCTCAGCCACTCTGTTGGGATTTCCAAACCTTGATTTCCCTTTTTTCTTTTTCCTCTTTGTTATCTTCTCTCTTTTGTTCTCTAAGTATAATCCATTTTTTGTTTACTATGGCATAGAGGACACTATCCCACAACATCTTTCTTATCTCAGCCACTCTGTTGGGATTTCCAAACCTTGATTTCCCTTTTTTCTTTTTCCTCTTTGTTATCTTCTCTCTTTTGTTCTCTAAGTATAATCCATTTTTTGTTCTCCCTGTTACTCTCCAACTCCTGTTGCCCTTTGTTTCTAAGAACTTAAGATCCATCCCATAGGTTAAGCCAGACTAGCTAAGTTTATTACCCTCAATACACCCTGCTCTAAAGAGGGAAAAACACCAATTCTTTTTGTAAGTTTATTACCCTCAATACACCTGCTCTAAAGAGGGAAAAACACCAATTCTTTTTGTAAGGCCATGGAAGTCTCTGCCAGGGTCTCTGAAATCTGTGGAATAACTATTGCTATATGTCTGTGGTCTCTGGTCCTGCCTTAAATGGTCCAAAGGAACAATAGATCACTGACCTAACTCATCTTATTTCTCAATTACATGCCCCTACACCCCAAATATCTACCTTCATCCTATTTCTTTGTTATTTATCAGGAATTTTTCTTCTCACCCATTTCCCATTTGAGCAGATTCACTCTATGCAAGTGGTAAACCAAGGCCACAGCTTCCTCAATGCTCTGTAGATGGTGCTTCTTTATCTGGGATTCGGTATCCCTGGGCAGGATGGGCAGGAACTGCTAGCAGTTCCAAGATCTGCTCTTTTGAGTAGACCTCTGGCCTCAGTATAATTCCTGAAGTTGGCCAACAGCCACCTGCTTCATGATAGTGGAAGCTCTGGAAGTGCCCTCCAGCTGAGACTGTCCATTTGTGCTGTATAGTTCTCACTCCCTGTCACAGGTCCCTTAGTCTCCCACAGAGCCCTGATTCTAATGCTCAGCCACCTTCAGACTTACCGTCATTACGCTCTGGAACAGTTTGCTCCTGTGTTGGACACACCACAAGCACTAACTTTGAGAACAGAGGCCCAGTCTGGTCTGGAACAAAAAAGGATCTTCTTCCTAAGTCACTGAGGGCAGAAAAAAAGTACAGGTAATAAGAAGGTCACGTGAACTTTACTACTTGCTACTTATTATGAGAAAATGAAGAAAAAACATCCTGCCTTGTCTTTATCAATCAACTGCCAGACCCTTTCTCTCCTTTTATTTACAGCACAGCTCACTGAAGACAAATGCAAAGTGATGACTGCTTTAAAAAACAAAAAAATTTTCATGCCCAGCTGGCTTGGCTCAGTGGTTAAGCATCAACCTATGGACCAGGAAATCCTGGTTTGATTCTCAGTCAAGGCACATGCCTGGATTCTGGGCTCAATCCCTAGTAGCGAGTGTGCAGGAGGCAGCCAATCTCTCATCACTGATGTTTCCATCTATCTCTCTCTCCCTTTCTCTCTCAAATCAATAAAAATATCTATAATAAAAGCATAATATGCTAATTAGACCAGAAGTCCTTCCGGATGTCCTTCCTTCTGGACAAAGCCACAGCAGGTGGGGGCGAGGCAGAGGCGGCAGAGACCCCCAGCCGCCGGCAGGCGGGGGCCCGGGCCAAGGCCCTTGCACAACTTTCGTGCATCGGGCCTCTAGTACTTTAAATAAATTTCAAAAAAGGTTGTTGGGTGAGCCCTGGCCGGGTAGCCAAGGTTGTGGGTTCAATCCCTGGTCAGGGCACATACAAGCATCAATCAAATAATGCATAAATAAGTGGAACAACAAACAATTAAATGTTTCCCTCTAAAATCAATGGATTTTTTATAAAGTTTGGTGGGTGTTAAATTTGGCACCCACTGGCTCCAAAGAGTTTGGGGATTATCAGAAGAGTTCATTGATATGGCTTCTATCTCATCTTCCCAATGTCAAAAGATTTGAACATACTGAGTTTTTCTTACATTTTAAATATTACCCTGGTCTGCTTTTAGTATAAGGGTATAACTTCTATGACCCTATATCAGTGATGGCGAACCAATGACACAGGTTCTGACACGCGAACTCATTTTTTGGGTTGATTTTTCTTTGTTAAATGGCATTTAAATATATAAAATCAAAATCAAAAATATAAGTCTTTGTTTTACTATGGTTGTAAATATCAAAAAATTTCTATATGTGACACGGCACCAGAGTTAAGTTAGGGTTTTTCAAAATGCTGACACGCCGAGCTCAAAAGGTTCGCCATCACTGCCCTATATCCTCTTGAGATAATGGAAGCCTCCACTTCATGGAACATCTGAGATTCTCATGAACACTGGCAGGAGTGTTGAGACAGTGAGACCAGAGTAGAAGGAAAATAATTAGGCAAAAAGTAGCTTTTCTTCTCAGAAAGCATCCCCCAATTAAGTAATGAGATGCTCAACATTCCTCATATGAAGGGGGTGGGTCCTAGCTGGTTTGGCTCAGTAGTTAGAACAGGGTCGTGGGTTAGATTCCAACGTACCTTGGTTGCAGGCTCATCCCCACCCACACACACATCGATGTTGCTCTTTCTGTCTGTCCCTAAAAAATCAATGGGGGAAAAATATCCTTGGGTGAGGATTGAAAAAAAAGCACATGAAGGGAACTACGCAGAAGATTTAAAACCTGTATTTTAAAATGTCTGTTTACTTCCACTAGGAAAAATCACAGCCGACCTTTCTTTACAAAATGTATGTCCAAATACCAAGTCGTAAAAAGGGGGAAAATAGCAGTTGGTGATGATTAGGCTGACCCTTCCGCTGATTTTACGTTTCGAGGATCTTTCAGACTTCTAAGGAGCCTACAGAGAGCTTCATAAGCCTCCCTCTCCCTGGGTGATGCAGCAGAACCCGCCCGAGCTTCTGTGCAGGATGCACGGTTCACAAATGAATGGCCGGCTCCTCGCTGTGCACCCGGCTCGGGAGGCCCGGGGACGCGTCCTATGCTTTTGCATCGGGAGAAAGTGACGCTGAACTAAGGTTCTCCGACTGTTAACATCAGTCCGCAACACACACACACACACACACACACACACACACACACCCCCACCCACCACCACCACCACCACCACCACCACCA